ACTGAGCATCTTTCTCTTTGACACCATGTCTGATATCCCACGTGATCTGTCAAATACTAATGCATGAAAATCCTAACCTCAAAAAAATCACCCGATATTTGACCTCGTTTTTTCCTGCATTACAGAATCTACTTTAATTCGTGAAATTTTTTGATGCTGATAAACGCGTATTAATATGCAAATATTCAGATTTACATCCATACAACCTTGATTTTAACTGAATTTAGATTTTTCTTACTTTTTTTGAAGGTTTAGTATTAGGAAAGGCCTAAAGTCGCTAGACGGGAAATTATGCTAAGAAACGCTAAAATGTTGTCAGTGAGTACGTTTAATGCCATTTACGAATTATTGCAATACTTGGCTTGTTCATTTTAACTTTGAATACTCACGTTTTAGAGGTCGAAGGTACTTTTAAATAAAAAATATATTATGGATGTAAATGTTTTAATTATTATTTTTTATTTTCATGTATAATTTCTATTTAAAAAAGTTATTAATATACACAAAGCATCATGATATGAAAAGCGGAATTAACCCGTTCGCATTTAACGGTTATATGAGAAGCTGCAAAACTTGATTAAACAGGATACCTTCAGTTTGTAACACCTAAAAGCAAACTTCAGAGACCCTACATAAGATATATGCATATGTAAATAATCAATGTGACGAAATTAGTGATTAGTGATGGATGGTGATATATTTTTCCCTCGGCCCCATATGCCATTTATACTTAATTATGCCCAATAAGCTATATTTTTAACACATATGTATAGTATTATAGCATATAAATATGTCGGAGAAAGAAGGAAAGAAGAAATTGGGGAAAATATTTGATATATGGAGTGTGATGGAAATAAGTAACCATATCGGTCAATACCGCCCTCAAACACAATTAATATTAATATATCTAGGGATTTCCATCAGATTTTAACTCGATCAATAATTTCGTACGATAACGGAAATCAATTTTTTCAAAAACGAATGAATAATTCACACAAAACAACTTTTTATACCCTTGCAAAATTTTCCTGTGTGTGCAGTGGTTAGAGACACATGTAGGCAACAAATTTTGAAAAAGTGCGCTTGGCTCCGTCCTCTAATAGGTTTAATGTGCATATCTCCTTGCCCACTAAAGCTAGAATAGCAAAATTCACTCAAAACAAATCCCTTAAGCACCTCAGACACTGTAAAAATGATTGAAAGCGGAAGATAACCCCATCCACTCTTTATATAACGGTACTGTTAAAAATTATTAAAAGTGCGATAAATCAAGAACTAAATACGAGAGCGACATAAATTTTTACATCCGGAGCGGCATAAGAAATCTTCATCGGAGCGAGGGTAAAAATTGGACGATGGTTGTGGCACCGTTATGTAAAACCACATATCTCGGTACTCGAGTGATCGATTTCGACTAAATTTGGTGCGTGAAATTCTTCTGTAAAAAGTTTTGAGACTCAATAGTGGGCAAAAAACAGTAATACTTTTTAACTTAAATTTCGTGCGAAAACCCAATCGTAGAAATATATGTTTTCTAGGTTGCGTGAACGTCAGTTAGCTGCGAGTTTTATGATGAGTGAAATTATTCAACAAAGAAGTTCCATGAGATTTTGTGTGCGGAATTAAATTTCTGGTGCCGAAACGTTCAGACTGTTGGTAAAGGCCTTCGGTGATAATTGTATATCGCGATAAAGTGTTTCTGATTTCTACAAATCATTCAAGGAGAGTCGAGAGCACGTTCACGATGAACCACGCCCAACGACGTGACATGCATCCACATCAACTTATGATCGACACGTCAATAAAATAAAGGAATTGGTCCTTGAAATTTTACGTTGAATATCGGAAGGATCAGTGAAAACCATTTTAAAAGATCATATGGGTGAAAACGTGATTGGTTCCAAAATCACTAAATTTTTTTGTAAAATAGCGTGGCGTTGACGTCTGTGAAACAATGCTTTCCAATTATCATAATACCATGAAACTGATTGTCACTGGCGATTAGTCTTGGATCCATGCTTATGGGCCGGCAACTTTTGGTTTCTGTACCACGGTAACGTACCGTCCTGACTTCCGGCTATTCAGCAAACCGGGAAACCGTTTAGAGCCAATTGAAGGCTTTAAACGTGAATCATAAGCATAAGATGCTCGGTTACACTTGACTAATTAATATTTTTTATTACTATTAAAACAAGATGGAGGAAAAACTCACAGCTCTGATATAACGGTAATAAGTTGAGAACACGATATCTTAGATTAGTTTAATTATTTATTTATCAGTAAGTAAGCATTATCTGCTGATGCCCTTCCAGTGCATGAAGTATTTGTCCACAAATTTGTTTAATAACAATGCGTGAATACTTAACAAAATCTTGATGATTTTTAAATTTTGGCCTCCAGGAATATTTAAGTATTTAGTACTTTTAATATTTTTTTTTATATATGTATACATTTTATGCTTCTTTGGCGAAAGGAACTGTAATTTAATTCAATAATTTGAGTATCACTCCCTTTCTTTTCAGCACTTCAATGCGAATGGAAAAAACTAAGAAACAGTTGGTGAGTCTATTTGTTTATTACTTCATATTTTTTACTCTCATATTTCAAAATATATATTAATTTTTGATAAAATTGTTGTATTACAATATTGCTTAAGATACAATAGAAAGCCTTCTTAGTAGCACTCTGACTAATGTTCTCTCCAGGTACCCATATAGCGCTCCTTCCTCTCACTTTTGCTCCGCTCTCTTGTGTTTAGCATTGAATTTTCATTGTCAAGGGTCAAAAATGTTGTGAAAATGTTGACAGCTCAATACTGTCAATAACTATATTTCACAGCAGCTTCGTCATATTACTATTACCTCCTGAATGCTATAAAATTTGCAGCAAAATCTTCATTGTAGTTCATTTAAGAACACATTGTAACCGTATCGTTAAGGTGTACGCCTTATTTCGACGCCGAAGTGGTGTCATGTTGATAAAAGCTGTAATAGTAATCCACACTAAGTATTGAGAACACTTACTTCCTATGAGCAATATAAAAAATCTATAAACATTGATGAAACTGTTCTAGCAAATTTTCTTAGATAAGAAAGTGTGTCTTAAATTTTAAGCCGAAATTGTAACATTGTAGTAATTTCAAACAGCTTAACGTTTACCTATAACTCGAGTATGTGCTGTACAACCTCTTAAAGTTATATAAGCTCATTTCTAGGTATTACTTAAAATACCTTCACGCTTTCGTAGAAGTTGGCGCATTTGTTGCAACAATCATCTGCCTAAAACCCGTTGTTGTACAGCTAAGTACTACTTATCTATGCTATGAGTTTGGGCGCAAGTGTGCAGCGTATCTTAACCGCAGCCTCCATTCGGTCATGAATTAGCAGATAAGCAGCCCAATCGACAAACGCTTGAGCGACTGCTGTCATGATGCTTTTATTATGCTAATTAAGCGTACGAAATGAAGTTAGCAGAGCGGTTTGCCGACACCAGAAGTGGTGACTAAGGGAGGTGGAAAAAGCGTGCAGCTGCGCCACTAACTTACGCAGCTATACTTGTATGCTATTAGTGGCATAATCAAAACCGCTGCCGTGTTACTAAAACCGCATAATGGCCTGCTTTGTGTTGTGTGCGCGTGTCTTCAGTTTGAGGTGTAGCTGTATTGTTGCTTAGGGATTTAAGCCTTATCTTTACTACACACTCGGCACAGGTGAATATTTTCAATTACAGTTATTGCGTATTGAAATAATATTTATATATGCCATAGCGGAAATCATTCAATGTTTATTTTACTGTTATTCCTAAACGTTCCTAAAAATCAGCTGAAGATTAGAATGGTGGATAATTTGTATGCAAATGTGTCTACAGTTCTGGTGAATTCAAGCTTGATATTTATAAATTTAAGTGGCTTAAATTTGCTTTATATTGGATATATAATAATTTCGTATCTCCTCAATTTGGAAAGTGCACAAATACGAAAATGTTCAAAAATGATATTTTCTAAAACCAAATATATTATATATTAATGGTGGGGGCAATTATTTTAATTGCATTAAGCAATTCTTTATAGCTCCAAGCGCCTATTTCAATCATTTCTAATTAGACCCTAGGCTTTGAATTGAGCAACTACCGCACCTCGCACAGGAAAGCGATTCTTTTAAATGGCAGCGCCAAAGCCAGAATATCTTTCCCAAAAAAAGTTTCCATACTTAGTTTTGTATGGCAGCTATGTATATGCTATAGTGGTATTTTTTGAATCAAAGTAGTCGGTCATTACAACGTTGCCATGGATATTCAGTCATCACAAATTTCGTGAAGATTCCTTGTCAAATGAAAAAGTTTTCCATACACGAGCTTGACCTTGATTGTTCTGTTTGTATGGCAACTATACTCTAAAGAAGCCCGATATTGCCGTTACTGATAAAGTAGCAGGTTTTAAGAGAGTTGAAGTACTAGTTTGCGTATTATAGACAGACAGACAAACATACAAACAGGACTAAATCAACTGAACTCATCACTCTGATCATTTCATATATATTTTATAACGTTTCCGACGTTTCTTTCTGGGTGCAAACTCGTGGTAAACTTAATATACCATATTCAGGGTATAAATAGCAAAACATTGAAAGAAGCAGGGGAGTTCTATAGTTTTAAAGGATAAACTTAAGGATTAGGTTAGATTATAAGATCGATCCTTACAAGTATATCACTTAGAGAGCCTAGAACGCCGTACCGTTTTGTGACCTAAAATACCTGAATATCTGATAAATAACACCTTCACAAATCGACAAAGCGCTTTGAGATTATCACAAATTTTTTTGAGACTTCTAATGTCAGTTTCTGCTACGTCTCTTAATTCGCTGAATGTAATACATATTTCAAATACAGACCTACTGTTTGGGTGTTTCCATCTCATCTTCCTTTATACAACTGTGACAAGTTGCATGTATTGATATTTTTCTTACTGCATAAATGCCTATTGGACAGAGTCCAGCAATAATTCTTATGATTGCGGCAAGATGTACCTTGCTCAGAGCAAGTAGTTCAGTAGATCTCTTCCGTTTTACTGGAAGTAAAAATGGCCTTTCAGTCGCACTGAAGCAGGTAGCCAACCGAAGCCAGCTAAGCGCTCGCGAAATTGTTTTGTCCGGGACTAGAACGCTGGATATCCAACTCGGTCCCATTTCAAAGTGAGCGCGGCAAGAGTAAGCTTTCTGGTAAGCTTGTCGAATTTGCAGTTGCCAGCGATTCCGATATGAACAGGTACCCAATCCACAGATACGAGTTTAGCGCTGTTATTGCCGTTCTACTCTCGGAATAAATGTTCACCTCCCTGAAATGGGCTGCACTTCGTAGAAGTACGTCAACCTCCACCACTTCTGCCTGACAAATATTACAGAGTTCCGGTAGCTTCAAGCTAAGATTTTTCGGAGAGCTTCTTACCGAGAATTCCCGTTACCCGTTATCTTACTAGCATCGACCCATATATGACTGATTCCCGTCCAAAAATCCGTCGTCGGTATGTGAGCAGAGAAAAAGTCGCCTCGAATACGTTAAATTCATGAAATTTGCAGATTTGATCCTATTTTCTATATATATCTAACAGAAACGAGAATTAGTAGAAACGGTAGTTGTTGGGCTCGTTTTATGTTCGAGTAGTTCAGAGATAATAAAGATCGCATATAGAATTTTGTCTTCAGCTGCACGGCTTTTGCGGACCTAGCCTAAAAGATCTAATATTTCTAAGTAATGACAATTCTGAGGCATCTAAGGCAGGTAAAGTAAATTTTTGTCTGTGGTTGCAGTGTTTTCGTTGGTCCAAGCTGATAAGAAGATTTATGTTTTCAAGTGCTAAAATTACGGTTTTGCAGTTGTTAGTTCCGCATCTTTATGTAGGTCTTCATCACTTCTCTGTGTGGATAGCTCGAATGATAATCGTTTCATTTATTTGGGTTGCTTTTTTTTTGTTTCCAGATCCCTTTGGAGCTAACCCAGTCTCAAAGGTTTGCATTCTGACTAGCTACAGCAGGTGATAACACTTGACAAGCTTCTAAGCTGACAGTTCTGCCTGTCAAAGTGCTCAAGCAAAGCAACCAGGCAGCACCCTGCCACAACGAGCTGCTCTGGTAGCTGAACGTAATGTGATACTTAACCAACAAGCCCTCACTGCTGATCAATGATACGCAGTTGCATGCAACAACATTGTCGCATGCTGCTAAATGTCATTAAAATTGCAATTTTCATTATTGAAAAGCACTTCAGTAGCAGGCAGCAGGTCTGACCATGTGGTGCAACTGTGCAGCCAAAGTGTAATCCCCACTTGCCACACATTATTGCAGCAATCACGGTTGGTATTCTCCATCCAATGAGAAAGTGGTCTCTAATTTCGCACGACAAGCGTGAAACAACGCTGAGAGCCTACATAAGAGTGGTAGGGTATTCCAGTTATGGAATGTTTAGTCTCGGGTAGGTGTCACTTACACACACCTGCTACATTCTAATTTTAATTACATGCAACAAAGGAAGCTAAAAATGTTTGCTTTGGCTCAGAGATTTGTTGCAGCTTTTCCCAGTCAAGTGTGAGCGTAGCGAAAGCAACAAAATCGGTGGCGAGCGCCGAGGTGCTGCATCGAGGTACCTTTTAATCATAGTTGGATGAACATTTTCCGCTCGTAAAAGGATTGCAACTCACTCCTCAAACTAGTATCCCCTTGGCTGCGTGTGACCCCGGCGGTAATTGAAAGGTATACCTTCAGCGCTTCCCCAACACATTGTGTCGTCGTTGCCGTCATTAAGTGGTCATTCCACACACTTCAAAGTGATTTACTCTGTGCGCACATGCTGATGTGTATATGTGTGAGTGCTTCAAAGTACTTGTGCGAATTTTCGCACTCCTGTTTGCAAACGTCCGCACTTAGGAGCGCAGGAACATGTGTTTGTGCAGCCACCAAAGCGTCCACAAGCTGTTCGCAGTGCGCATGCCATTGTCAACGCTATTTTGGCGGGGTCTAAGCGTCTGGTGCGCGCTGTTATTTCGGTGTAATTTGGGTTTTTTGGTTGCACGCATCACTGCCAGCTGTTGCAATGGGAATTCGCAAGTGTTTGTAGTATTTAAGCTTTGCGATAATGAGGTACCGCTATACACGCAGTGCGATACACTTACTTTCCTACATACATATTGGCTTTTAGTTTGACTATTTTGTAAGGCTGAGCTTAGTATTCCAATTTAACGGTAGTTTTCGTATGCAGAAAATTAAAGTTTACAGCAATGCTACTGAAGTTGATTCCCTGGCAAAATAGTCAAATAAAGAAGTAAATAATATCTGAACATTTAATTTCCGAAAGTTTTTGGTTAACTTTGCAATAAATCTGTATCTAACTAAATCTGTAAATGCAAACGGTCAACGGATCGTATCCAACAGAAAACGTGGCTATGATTGATGAGAACAAATCTCAAATCGACCTAGCGTTATTTTTTTACTAAGGTTTATTCAATTAGGAAAAAAGAATAATGGAAAGTATCGGTTAATTTATATGGTTAAATGCAATAGTAGACCGTT